AATAATAATAATAATAATGATAATGATATAGCTGAAAGAATGTTAATACATAAAGATGTATTAACATAAGGTGTTAATACTTAAAGGTGTGGCTCATAGCAGTACATATCTTAGCTTTTATACATTTTAGGTTTCTTATACTGTATACTATTTTTTAAAATTTTAAAGCCAGCAACCTTATAAATGCAGAAAATAAATATTACAATAAATGAAAGATAGAATCTATTCATGGAAGTGAGCAAAACTAAAGAATCTCCATGCTCTTGAAATTGTTTTAAATCTATGGTTAATATGCTCCAACTCCAAGATTAAACGTGCTGATCCATCTAGGACAATACAGATGGAAATGTGCTTCCATGCTTATGTCCCATTTTGGACTGGATAGGAAAACACCAATAGGATTCTGGCCCTTGTAAATTTATGTGACATTATACAGCAATAGAAAAGGTAATCATCTGAGCAGCACAATATTTGTTTTTCATATTTGTATTTTAAAAGTGGGCTATCCACAAATTCAACTTGATATTTAACATAACCCTAAAATGTATGCCTAAGCCTTTCTTAAGCTATGAATGCAACATGGAACTAGAAGATAATCTACAATACTAAGCAGTCAAAAAAAGGCTTTAACACATCTGTACAAAACTGTTGCAAATTTAATGTGATCTTTGGTTTGAAACCATGTATATGGGCAAGGGACTCATGTACCGTATCTCAAATTAATCAATCTCTAAACAAATCGCATAAACCCAAATTTTAATATGGGCAAGGGACTCATGTACCGTATCTTAAATTAATCTCTAAACAAGTTGCATAAACCCAAATTTTAGTCATACAGATAAAATAATTCAAAACAAAAATGCTAAAAGGTTAGCTTTGTTGTTATGTGGTGTCAAGTCAGAATGAACTTATGGCAATCCTAATAGAGTTATCTAGGTAGGTGAAGTAGAAGGAGTGGTTTTACCAGTTCCACACCCCCAGTGAGCTTCCATGGCTGAGTGAGGATGAACCCAAGTCACTCTATCCACAACAGACGGACAACAAGATCCCAAAATACTGTGCAAGCTTTCAAGTTTTTTGTTTGTTTGTTTGTTTTTTATTTTGGTGGGGGAAGGAAATATTTATTTTGGCTAGAACACCTTCTTTCCCATTCTTATGTGACTTTTCTTGTGTGTGATTTAGCTTTTCAATAGCATGATACAAGAATAGAGGATGGTGGGACTTTATTCCTTGCCATTATAGAAGCTCAAATTTTACTATGCCCTCCAGCCACTAGGTAACACCATGCAATTTGGCTTTCTTTTTTTTAAAAAAAACTGGTTTACAGCATCTGAAATTATCCCTGTCAATATGCAAAGTGCTAACTTCCTCTTTTTCCCCCCCACCAACCAGTCCTTTTATTTTGGTCTGGTTTACAGCATCTGAAATTATCCCTGTCAATATGCGAAGTGCTAACTTCCTCTTTCCCCCCCCCACACACAAACCAGTCCTTTCATTTTGAGAAAAGATGGAACACTTCTGATAACTTCCTGGAATTTACATAGTGTAGTTTCAGACTAGAATTTACTATTCTTTCTCTTTCTCAGCAACACTTGGAAGGAGTCCCAAGTGCAATAAGCATCTGAAATTATCCCTGTCAATATGCGAAGTGCTAACTTCCTCTTTCCCCCCCCCACACACAAACCAGTCCTTTCATTTTGAGAAAAGATGGAACACTTCTGATAACTTCCTGGAATTTACATAGTGTAGTTTCAGACTAGAATTTACTATTCTTTCTCTTTCTCAGCAACACTTGGAAGGAGTCCCAAGTGCAATATGAAACCATCTGAGTACATGGTA